CCCCCGCTCCGTCCAGGATCGCCCAGGCTGGCGCCACCTCCCTGCTACACCCCTGCTGCTGGTACTGGTGCCTCTGGCCTCCCAGGTGGAAGGGACAGAGAGACCCGTGCGTGCGCGCGTGTGAGCGCCCGGTGCGCGTGTGAGCGCCCGCGTATGCGCGTGCGTGAACATATGTGTGCGCGTGTACATGGGTGAGCGCCGCCTGTGCGAGCCTGTACATGGGTGAGCGCCACGTGTGCTCGCGTGTGCACGGGCGAGCACCTGCGTGCGCGCGTGTGTAGATGGCTGCACGCTGCGTGTTTAGTGGGTGCGGCGGAGCAGACAGAAGAAACTATTAGGGCAGAAATCTTGGCTTGGAGGCTTGCAGCAGCTGCCCAAGCACTCTGCGATGCTGAGGGGGCGGCTGGCAGAATTTCGGCGCGTTTCCTGAGAGGGATCCGAGCGGGCGGGGGAATTCCTTCAGGAAGGCGGGGGAGCCCCAGTCTGGGAGCCGCGTCCCCACCCCGACGGCTTCGCCCCAGCGGCTGGGGTGAGGGTCTGGGAGTCTGATCCGCCGACTCGAGGTGGAGGAGGTCTGGAGACGGGCTCAGCTCAGGCCCTGGACGCTCTCCCAGGGGGCGGCAGGGAGTAACAATGGCAGGGAAACGCGCCCCCCACCGAGAGAAGGCGCCGGGTAGCCCGGAATCGGGCTGCAGACGACACAGGCCTGGGCATCCCTGGCTGCCTCACCTCACCACCTCCCGGCCCTCCCTTTTGGACTCTTCCCCTCCTTGAGGAAAGACGATTCCATGAATGTATTATTTAATTCGTGTGAGTTGTAGGAAAGGCGGCTGCCAAGGGAGGGCTGCTGTCTGCGGAGGGCCAGCAGGTGTCTCTGAGGACTGGTCTGTTCAGGGTGGCCCGTCTCAGCCTGTGGTGTTACCTCTGGCCCCTCTCTTGCCCAGCCTTCTGGGGTCCACAGCCCTGCCAGACTCCGGGTCTGCCTCCTGTCTCAGGGACAGAAGCCGCTTGATCAAGCCTGGGGCAGCCCCAGCACCTAGCACAGGTGCTACATGAATATTTATGAAGTGAATGATGTCTACAACAAGAAATCTGGTTTATTGAATTACAATGAGAAAAATCCTTGTCACTGGGACGGGAGTGCACCAAGTCTGGAAGCACAATGGCATGGAAGCTTGGTCTTATGACGGTGGCTTGGGGTTTTCTTACAGTAGAGACCACAACCTGAGGTACAGAGTGTAGACTGGCCCTGCTAAGGTTTGTCTCCTGAAGGCCCCGCTTCTCTCTCTGGAGAGGAGTTGATTACTCATTGTGGCTGCAATAGGCCCTGACTAACCAGGGATTCTCTCTGTCCCCTTAGGGGACTTAGCCTTTCTTGGCGCTCATACAATGTGTGTTGGTCATTCTTATGACTTAACAGTATGAGAAATTCCTTGATTTTTCAGCTCTTGGGAAAGGCCTTGGTTGTGTAGGTCTGAGGTCTGGATAACACACACTATAAGCATTCACTGAGTCCTGACAGGGCCCTCTGTCCTGGGGGAGCGACTGGATTAATCATAACAACCATGATATTCCTTCTGTCCTAATGGGAGGAGTCTGGCAGACTTTGGAGCAAAATGTAAGGTGGTCTGGAAATTCTGTTTTGCAAATATGCTCAGTGATGGGACCTTGGACCAAGAAACAGAAAATCTGTGTCCCCTGAGAAATTTGAGGATTCTAGCTCTGCTTGGCTTTTGCAAACTTAGGGGAGCCTTAGCTTTTCCATGCCCGAGCCTCCCAAAGAGCGCCAGCAACACTTGAGGATAGGCGATGCAATTGAAGAACAACTTAGGGAGTTTTGCAAGGTGCTAAGTGTGTCTTTCATCATCTGAAAATTGGTGAGGGCATGTTTGAAAGCAGCAAAGAATTCGTGTGTGTTATTGCTGTTAATTAGAGTAGACCTACCTCCTCTCCCCCGTATCTGCTTCTCTTACTGTCTTTCATCAAGCAGGAGATGAGTTCATGAAGTTTTCTCTTTAGAATATGACACTTACAGGAAATTATTTTTTCTCCTATTTATAGAAATTTCATTTGCATTTATGAAGCTGGTAAAGTCTCATAAATATTTCCTGTCAGATAAAATATTGATTAAAAGACTTTGCTGAGTTATTCTCTGAAATCCTAATTTAATCTCTTCTAAAACAAATATTTTAAGTGTTTTCTTTTATGTCAGAAGAATTCCTCATACATTACTTGAGTATGCAAATAAGTTCATCTATAAACAGGAGATATCTTTCAATTAATGATATATTATTTTGTAAACTTCAAGAAATAATTGTGTAGCTGCCACTCAGTTTAAAAAACAAAACATTGCCAACACTACTGAGTCCACCTTGGCTTACCTCTTCTTCCCTCAAGAGATAACCATGAAGCCGGGCTCGGTGGCTCAGCCTGTAATCCCGCGCCTTTGGGAGGC